CTCCACAGTGTTACCCCCGGTTACACAACTATCATGTTATATACCGTTTTAAATTGCAGATACCTAATGCGCATAATACGTGCTGCAAACACTTCGTGCTCTAGCTCTCTACCTCTACCTCCATTTCAGGCGTTTCTTCGGCAGTCCTGTCTACCAAGTTACCTGGGCGGGCACGCAGACATTCCAAGAGGTCATCTTCAGTCCGAAAATGGTCACCGATCATCTACCAGACGTCGTTCTCAGGGCGCTGAGTCAGCTCAACGAAGCTAACACGGAGCCGTTGCCACCGGCAACCGCACCCGCCTACTAAGCTCCACGTGGAACGGCTGTGGTCGTGACTCTAGCGGCAGATGTCTTAAAAGGCGAAGCGCGCCCGTCTTAAGATGGACACCTCAAGGAGATGGCGCGCATACAGTGTTGTCACAGGTTATTAGTCGATTTGTTGCACAGGAAGAGTGGATGCAGCTGCTTCGTTAGTGTCTGATTGGGATCGTCGTGATTTGTTGTATGAAAAAAATAGTCCGCTAGTCAAGGCTATATAATACTGCTAGTCAAAAGTCAGTGTTTTTAGAGGTGACAATTGTCACTATTAATAGTCTGCATTTAAACCCATTCGGATTTCAGTATTGCAGTTATGTGAGAATTAAATGGTGTTGTAAACTGCGTTTTTATAAAACGTTAAAAACACTATTCTGCGTGTCTTCCACTGTGTGTCCAGCGTGTGACTGTATGGCCAGATTACATTTGCTAATTATGTATTCATGGTACATCGTTAAGGAGAAATGTCGGAACATGAAGCTACTGTTATTGCTTCGCAGGTCGTGCATATGCATCAAATCAATTTTCTGTCAGCAGGTTATTTGTGTGAACTGGCATCTCGCACTTGGCTATGCATCGTGGGGCTGCTGATAACATAAGCCAGTGACACACGTAATGTTCTAACGTAGTCTAGCGGACATTAACTGTTTATTACATCCAAAGAAGTACTAGTCTACTAGAAGTAGAAGTACAAGTCTACCAAAGAAGACCTGTTGTTGACATTTGAATTCATTAACGTGTCTGTGTGCATTTCATGACAGCAAAGTGTATCGCAGCTTGTGCAGTGGATGTATGCCAACAGATTGGGAGCTGTACAGACCATAGGGCCGTTTTGCTGCATGGGTGTTGTGCAGGCAAATTTAGCTCTGTCGAATTCGAAAGCAAGCAGTCGTGTGAATGCTCCAGAACCATGTAGCTGCATGGCTCCCATGAGCCCACCATTTTTTATTTAGTTGGTTTACAGAATTTTTGTTGTTGTTGACTCGGTAGGGTAAAAAAAAAATCGTTTTGTCAGATCAAACAAGTCAAAATACAGTGATACTGTTATACATGATATTAAAGTATTTTAAGAAAACTAAATGAAAACAAAACTCAACTTGTAATTATTTTTACTTTTATTATAAACTGTTTGTTTATAAAATGTTTTTGTTTTTTACATTTACATTTTTTTTATGCATATTTCTTAGAGAAAAGGTCGGCGGGAATAAAAAAATAGATTTTCAAATTTTATTTTTTTTCGTTTTTCTTGAAAATTCGGGTCGGCGGATCTGTAAACCAACAAAATAAAACAATTCTTGCCTGAATGTATCATGTGTGTGCTAGTCGTGTTCACTGTGATGCTCTACTCACTGTGTCTTGTTTACGTATTCGTTATCAGAAACCTTCCACTCCAACGAACCTCGAATCCATTTAACTGGAATTCGAAAGAATAAATACCAGTACAGTACACAATCTATTATCCGAAATTCTGAAAACCGAAAAATGTTTTGTGGAGGTCGTCCGCACACCAAAGCTCGCGTTTAGCTGCACAAGGTTCACTGCAGAAATATTAATGTGTTTGGCATTACTCATACATATTGTACTGTACCGGTACAGCACTTGGCCGCTTGATAACTTGTGTTTTAGTACTGGCCTGTTGCAGGATATACGGTATGTGTATCTGTACTGGACTACCATTCCGAAATACGAAAAATTCCGAATTCCAAAACGTGTCTGGTCCCAAGGGTTTCGGATAATAGAGGTACTGCAATGTGAACGTTTACTGATCTTCTTGACATCACGGGAATACAGGTAAAGTTAATGTATTTTTGTGGCAGTTGTACGTGGCCAACTTAATATGACGGACGATTATATATATTACATAAGCTATTCAGCTGTACGGCGTGACATTTAACATATCAGTTAACTCGTTAAAGAACTAGAACTTGCGTGTTTCATTCGTAAACCGAATTTCTGTGGAAGGGTTCTGGGGAAGTAGTTTTATTTGCAGTACTTTGGCACTGGTAAGCGACTTATGCCACCATGCAGCGCTGACGGTTACAGTCGACTTGGCTGTGAGTCAGCACACGGCTGTCAGCTACAATCTAGCAGATGCGTGCAGGTTTTCCTGTAAGTCGTTCAGTAATCAAAATGAAATATATTTTTCTCCTTTGTACAATATTTAATAGTGTGATTGGTGCTAATCCTAGTTTCGCAAAATCAAATCGGTTATACGGCAAATGTGTAATTTTATAACTTATGCAAACGTGTTCTTTCCTGAATAAATGAGCCTATCGGGGAAAAGATCTGTGCCGGACCATGAAGAGCTATTTTTCTTTTAATATATTAATATGTTTAATTATTTAAAGTGTGTGAATAAATTCAATGCCTTGTGTATATCTGAACAGAAGTTATACTATGTACCATGTGTTATATCTTGTCGTTTCATCTACCACGTGCTATAATCCTCAACCTAACAAAATATTATTTATAGAAATAGAAAACAACACCTGCAGTTCCAACAACAGAAGAAAATAATTATGCTACAATACATATTTAATAATGTCCTGGTTAGCGAAAAATATTATCACTATGTAGTTAACTAACATCCGTTTGCAACCTCTCCAGCTTCATGTACACCCATCCTTCAACCTTGCACGACCTTCACAGACAACCATCTTCAACCTTGCATGACCTTCACACACACCCATCCTCAACCTTGATGATCTTCACATATATCCACCCTCTATCTTGCATGACCTTCACAGAGGCATGCCCTCAACCTTGAGCAACCTTTGCACTCTTTTTTGCCGTCCTAGTGTTTAATACTTCATGTTTCGCCTTCGTCGTTTGTGCAACAACTTGTGTATTCTTGCCTCTTAACCGGGTCTTCTACAGAGAGTAAGTGCATTAGTCATTAAATAGGCAATTGGTGTCATTCACATTGCAACCTGAGAATCGATATTTCTAGCAAAACATACAGCGACGCCTGCATATAAAATGTAATTTTGAAACTAAAAACAACATAAATATTTGCAGCAAAATACAAAATGTTTGTATCATAAAATTCAACACTTGCCCTGTGCAATATCCCAAATTTTGCAGTGTAGAATTTTATAAATTTATTACTCGTTTGGTTATACTTTTCTCAGTTTCTACTCGTCTTACCTTAGATTTGATGCGCGGTCGTTGCGCCTCGCTGGCGTGTTCTCTCTTCTTCAACGCCTTGTTGGTCACCTGGCCACCACTGATTAACGAATTAGGCGCGTCAGCATCATCCATTGCTTCGTGATCGCCCACTGGTCTGACATTCGTGGCACCACCTGAACCAGAGTCCGCTTTGACAGCCACAGATTTCGGTTGGTCTTTATTCTCTACTTGTGATCTTTTCCGCTTTACCTTCCGCTTCGCATTCCCAGTGGTACTGTCTGGCTGCTGCGACGCTTTCAAACGGACGTTAGAGGGCGCCACAGCCATGTCGCCATCGTCATTGCCATTTTCCGTCGGCGCCAGTTGTTTATTGAAGACGAGCCCTTGCTGTCGTGCTGCATCAGTCACGGCTGGCCTGAAATCAAATCCCAGATGCTGACTACATTACTCTCTACTCTAGCAGGCAT